AGCAGTGTTTAGTCCTAGAGAATCACTGTTCACTTGTGTGAACAGAGAAGATACCATAAAAATGGCCAATATGTCTTCATTATTGAGGAATATCAGACAAGGTGGCAAGCTATTTTCCAAGGAAGCTTAAAGGCCAGTACTGATCATCTCCTTAAAGAACCCCAGTATCTCCCCCCACTCTTATTTTCAACACATGCTATGAAACAGTTAAAAACCGATGCCACTAATTTCCACCCCCCATACAATGTCTATTTTTCAAAGTAACCTGAGAAATCCAAGGACATTGACTCAAAAGACAAGGTGATGCGCAGCATCAAACTGAAAGTGGTTCAATTCTCATATTGCCACTGAAACACCCCTGCCAAACAAGAGTACAAAACATGCAGGGCACCTATTTGGTAGCAGTGCAATGAACGCTCACCTGTGTAAGGAAGGATACGGAAAGCAATTAAGGGACGGATGGAACATTTAAATTTGATTCACCCATCTCGCTTTCTCTCCTCCTTAATGACTCTAATAGATGTTTCACATCCTTCTCCCTGGCTGCATTTTCTGTGATCGTTTAACAAGCATTTTTTCCCTCTCTCTCTATACCACACCACCATTATATTGTACTGTTTCAGAGACTGACTTCTTTCTTTCTAAAATACTTCAGTCATTTAGGAAATACAAAGGCAGTAAAACTCAGACTGACCATTTTGGTCAGACTTGAGTGGTCTAATGGTGTCTTCAGTGTCTAGTTTGATATCACACTTAGTCCCAATTGACGAGTAGTTAGTCTCAGTGAGAGGCTCCACTATAATTATATCAGGGCGTGCTGAGGCAGAGCAGGGATGTAATAAATGTCAGTGCGTGTGGAAAATTTGGAGCTTGACCTTCCTTCTTGTACATATTTCCTCCCCTTGTTATGCACCCAGACAAAGTATATATTATAAAGGATAATGAAGACACCATGTTACAGGTAATGAACCTTAGAAGATTCTTAGGTCTGGTTTTGCTGGCTATTTAGATTATTAGTAGCAGAAGAAGGACACCAGCACATCTAAGGGGAGCTGCAGAAGTCCCCAATTAAAGACAGAAGATGACAAAAACAGTGGTTTGCCCCAGGAATGCTCAAACAGCTACTATGTTGTCATAAGTGAACTGCTCAGTGGCTGAGCATGTGCACTGCCTATGGAAGATCCCAGATTCTATCTCATAGGTCTCCTGATACTGCTGGAATGCTGCTGGCAGTCAATGCCAACAATCCTGGGATTGGTGGACCAAGGGTTTCTCTTAGTTTAATGCTGCTTTCTCTGCCCCTACGAATCTCGGGGATGCGATTGAAAATAGAAGCCATGTCATACTGTTCATCTCTGACTATTGCTATAAGAAAAGGTTGATAACCACAGAGAAATGGAATAGAATCCAGTGTGGACTTCTACTCCTAGAATGATGGAATCTACCAGAAGTGGGAGCAGATGGTCCCCTCTCTCCATTTTAGCCCCCTCTAGATAATCAACACGTTTGAAGACTAAGTAACCATGAGAGATCAGTTACAGGTGTGGCAAAGGGAACAGCACTTGAGATAAGGGGTTCTGTTAGCAGGAAAAGAGGGAACTGTTAGCAGCTATTGGTTAGTTCCATTAACTCCAACAATATATCATCACCATAGTATATTGTTCTGAGCTTCTGGCTATAAGCAATATGGAGTAGGAAAGTTAGGGAACAAAATAAAATAAAAGACCACTGGATTTTGGAGTTAGTGTTACTACATATTACAGACAAAAAATTGGCACGTGAATGCAGTTTTCTTCTGAGGTATTAACATTAAGCATAGGTATAGGACTAAAGGTAAAGGTAAAGGTTCCCCTTGACAATTTTTTTTGTCCAGTCGTGTTCGACTCGAGGGGGCGGTGGTCATCCCCATTTCCAAGCCATAGAGCCAGCGTTTGTCCGAAGACAATCTTCCATGGTCACATGGCCAGTGCGACTTAGACACGGAACGCTGTTACCTTCCCACCAAGGTGGTCCCTATTTATCTACTTGCATTTGCATGCTTTCAAACCGCTAGGTTGGCGGGAGCTGGGACAAGCGACGGGCACTCACTCCGTCGCATGGATTCAATCTTACGACTGCTTGGTCTTCTGACCCTGCAGCACAGGCTTCTGCGATTTAGCCCGCAGCGCCACCACGTCCCCAGATAGGACTAAAACCTTAGACTAATTAATTCCACATATTGAAAACACAGATTCAAAGCTACAATATTATCTCCCTCTCTATGTGTGTGTACATATGTACATGTAGAGGTGTACCTTGGTTTACGAATGCTTCGGTTAATGTCATTTTCAGTTTACAAAAGAAAATCCATTGAAAATAATGACTCAGTTTACGATATATTTTGCAATATGAAGCAAGTTTCCTCAGGATGCCTTGCGCCTGGGAGATTTATAGCGCTGCTTCCGTGCATGTGTTCTTATGGGAAACCATGTTTCGGTTTATGAATTTTTCACAATACAAAATGTCCTGGAGAACGCATTAAATTCGTAAACCAAGGTATGCCTGTATTAAGCATTTCCATATGCATCAAAAGTGGCGTAACTTAATAGTTCTGCAGCTGCTGCCACAGTCTTTTTATTAACTGACTGGTGGACTCAATTTTCAGACTGCAGTAGAAATTGGCCTAGATACATGGACTCTTACTGAGATGTGCAACAACTTATAAAATGAGACATCTGTAATTGAACCAGTAACTGTTGACCGAAAATAAAAATGACGTCTGTGTTTTTAAATTGAGGTCCTGGTCACAGAAGGGAAATGTCTTCTAGTTCTTCTAATACTTTCCAGACCTCTATTGTACTGAATTGTGGTCACATGGTTTATATCCCAGGACCTACTTTGGTAATATTTATTGATAAGTATATTATAAACTTATCAATACATCAGAATCAAGTCTCCCTCTAAGGTGCATGACTCTGTGAGCACTTGACACAGTGCCATCTCCACACAGCTCCCTTCCTTCCCCGTGCACCCACAGCTATCAATTCTAGCCCCTTTCATTCCTGACGCAATGGAACCCCATGTGGGAACTTGCACATGGGGGTGGAAATTAGGGGGAACATTGATCAGAAAGAGGCTTCTGTTTAGGAAAGAGTCCCTCTGTTGCACTGGCTGCTCCTGCAGAAATACATTACACATAATGATCTTGGAATATTCACACAGTAATACTGGCGATCACTTTACCGCCAGTGACATTGGCATATCAATATTTCAATGTATCTTTCCACAGGAAAAAAATTTATTGCTTGGCAGTAATGTAATGATGGCAGCCCCCCCGGTGAAATACTTTTACCAATTTATTGATATAGCAGGTACAATTTTAATTTTTTTTTAAAAAAGTGCGCACTGCAGTAATGGCCACCACTTTCTTGGCTTTGATTATGAAAAGAAGCAGGGCATGTTGTGCACACAGGCAATCCTGGCAAGGAATGCACTGGTACAACGAAGATACAAAACAACACAACCCTTCTGGCGATGGGAAAATGTTCTGCAGTTACACTGCTAGCCGGGAAAATGTCTGAGTTTTGCCTCTGCATTGTGTGATCAGGAAAAAAAAATACTGACATAACTGGTGGATAACTACGCAACATTTCCCTCATGTGTCCAGGGCCTGACTCTCTTCTACCAAAACAATTTATGCCAATGCAAAGTATTCTTGGAATTAATTTATGCTTCTCGTTTTCTGTATTCAAAACCCTAACAGAACAGAAACTCTGCAAAGGCCATTCTCACATATTCTGGGAAGGTTTAACTCTAAGATTGGTTGTCATCAGATAACTGGAATAATTTTAAAAACAAACAGTAAGGCATTATTATGGTTCAATAATTGCTTAAGGTTATGTGAACTCTTCCAGATCTGCAAAAATGCATTTTAGTGGGGAGGACTAACCACCAAGCATTGTTCAGCCTGACTGTCCCTGTTAATATGGGAGATCTCAGCTTGGGAGAAAAATTAATCTTGACTACAAATCTCATGTTGGTTGGGGGATTTTGGGAATTGTATTTTTTTTTTAAAAAAAAAGAAACATATCCAAGATCAATAAGAGATTTGTGTGCACAACAGGAATGGACGTAAATTTATAGACTGGAGGAAAAGACTAGAACTGTGTTGTTTCAGACTATCTATATTAGTGATGGCTGAGGTTTATTGTAAAACTGGCAACCTACACATTTTTTATGGCTGAAATACCATAGAATAGGTAACAGAAACACAAGATGTTCTCAGTTACAGTACTTTTTATGCATATGTAAAGAGGAAATGAGACAAACATGCACATTACAATTCTGTCTGCTTTGAATGATGTTTGATTACACCTAAGTGAAATATAGTGACCAGGATCCAGTGAGATACGTGAGCAGTGCGACCCCTTGTATGTTTATCTAGAAATATACCCTATTCAGTAGTAAATTGATGGTGATTATTCCTAATAAATGTACTTAAGATTGCAGCTAAATCTCTCAAAGGACTAGAATGTGCTCAGTGCAATTTAGGTCTTTTTCACCCCTTTCCTGGATGATGTTGTATTAGAATTCAGACAAAGTCCCCCGAGTTTCAGAAATATTTTACCACATGACATGAGAGACTACTATTTGAAAACACAAGCAGGTTTCCTTGTGTATGAAAATTCCAGGTTGGTTTGGTTCCTTACTTGGCATGGTAGTATTTTGCTGAAAATAAGGAACTCCTTCCATAATGGGTTTCTCTGAATCCTATTTGTGTGATACCTACATAACTCCTGCAGCTCAATTGAGATTGAGTTTCATACACTTGTTTTTTTCCCCTCTTTTTCCACTTTTTATTGGAAATCCTACATATGTGACTGAAAGTCAAGGACAAGAGCTTTTGAGTTCCATTACAAAATCAGTCATATTTATAATTATATTAATACAACTAGAAGCAAAGTCTACTGGATCATGAAATAATGATTGTCTACAAAAAAGTTACCCAAGGTAAGGAGCTGTGTTGTGCATGATCAAATTTTATTTATTTGATGAAACTGAAGGCCACTTTCATTAGTTCATTAATAATGCTGAGCTGCAAGAATTACAGAGCTTAAGGTAATTTCTCCTTCCATTGCACTGCATATATATTCAGGATTTCCACCCCACAAAAGTTCTTATCCAAAAGGAATCCTATATCCTGGATTCTAAAGCCGCTTGGTGGGCCTCCATATACTTATCAACATTGCTCCATATACTTATCAACATAAGCTACTCTCTTACACCATTTTGTTCACTATGCAGAGTATGAACCTATAAAGAACTGCAGCTACGTAACAGGAAGGCTGTGTTAGCTGATCACTCCTCAGCTGTTAAAAGAACATTCACTCCTTCATGAGTGCACAAGCCATTCCAGTGGCCCTTCTCTGATATGGCTGTCTGTTGAACTTTCTACCTGGGACAATAATAGGCTCATCTAGTGAATTCTGGATCAGCTACAAAATTTGGGTAGGCTTAAACCATTTGCTTCTTGCCACAGGGTGGCTCACAACAGACTCTAAGAACTTCTGTTCTATGGAATCCCTACTTCCTCAAGACCTTCATCCTAGTCCTACAAACACTTTGATTCTAGTGCTATTTTCATATATGTAGCTGCTGCAAAGTCTTGAAGACTAAGGATATTGGTAAATATTATCAGGATTGGTCCTTTTTCAGGAACACAATGAGTAATATTTAGAGAGATGGAGGGAGAAAGAAGAAAATAGGAAAAGACTATTAAAATAAAGCACTATTCTACTTGAATCCATGTCTTATTTGCTAGTAATAAATCAGGACAGCTAAAATATAAATATTGCCTGAATCATAAAAACTTGTCATATTCTAAGAAATATTACTTCAAAAACTCCAACATTATTTTAACTGACTGCAATCATCCTTCACGTTTGGCACACCTGAACCAGCACAAAGATGATGTGTTATGAAGTTAGCTCCCTGGGGGAAAATACTTATGTGCGTTGGGATCTGAAGACGGACTCTGGTGCTAATCGCATCATACTGCTTAACATATGAAAGAAATGTAAAAAAGTCCTTTCCTGTGATTCCACAGCACCAAGAGGTAGGGAACTTGATGGAAGGAGTAGGTTTATTTAAATCACTGGAGCACACAGAATGAACGACCTTGAAAACTACAACTTCCATTACAGACACCCCTAGCTGCCTCTGTTGTCTCCCTTTGAAAATGCAAAGTACAAACATTTTATTCAAAAACCCCAGACATTGTAATGGCTCAGAAGAACAATGACAGTGGTGTGTCCTTGTAGCTGTGTTCCTCTCAGAGAGATGAACGACGGGTTCAATTGCTTCACTGTAATTTCTCTATTTCCATGCTTCATTTCCTTCATGTAGCTGAGACTGGAGGAAAAAACAGCATGTTCTCAAGCATCTAATACCATGATGCAATATAATAAACCTGAATGTGATGGAAACTGGAACTCCAAAATAACCATACTTCTACGTGTCAGCATTTTATTTTAAAAAATGAGAAAGTATAACTTCTCCTGTACTAATCAGAAGAGATAATAACATTAAAAAAACACAATAAATAGACAGCAACTTCCCCCATACCTACATAGGCATCACAAAACTGCAAGAATCATGTTCCAGCTTTCCAACTAACGTACCTTCTGAAGAATTTTGATAAGGCAATATAGCATATGTTGCAGATTTGAATTGCAATCTCTTTTCAGATTTACCTGGATATTTACAAAGGTGCTTGGATGAATTAGCTTGCAAAACCAATATCTTAAAAGTCCATTGTGTTGGATATATTTTGAGCCAGTGAATTGCATGCAGCACTGTAAATAGAATACTTAACTTTGCATTGGTAATATAGTATGACCGAAATCCTGTTGCTTAGGGTAGTAGGTTGTATTGATCTTACTTCTTTGTAAATCTCTTCAGTTCATTTGAATACCTCAATTGTGACTTAGGGTAGCAAGTCATAATTGCTATAGGCCCACTGGAATTTATGGAGGAATTCACTCACCAAATCTCCACTGATTCAGTGAATCTACTGTATTATGCAACAGGATTTCCAGCAATATACTGCAATAGTATTGTAAATGGTGAATGTTGTCTTTCTCTCTACCAGGCAGAGATTCTGCAGTCTAGACCCAGCAGTACTGTGAAGGCATCTACAGGGTATCATTGGCTCATTGAAGTCACAGTGCACTACTTACTCTTAAGAGGTCAGTTGCCTCTGTGGGTATGGAAAGGTTGCCATCTATTTGCACATGTCTGAGCACCTAAATATTACTAAAAATGCCATTAGTCGCTCAGAACCTCTGTGTTCAGTGCAGTCCTAGTACAAAGTTCTAATGGAGATATGCTTCAACAAGGCAAAACAAAAACAAAAAAATTAAAAAACCCAAACCCAAAAAGTTAAAAATGGAGAAATATTTACAGATTTTCTTAGTCCCAATATTGAGTTTTTCGCTTTTGTTATCCTTTAGTGCACTGTCATAAAAAGATTCAAAGGCTATGAATACAAATTTTCTGGTCCAGTTCCATACATGTCTGCAAGCCGTTTAAAACGAGGACCCCAGTCACTGAGGTAATCATAATTCTGATCAGAGTTTGAACTGATAGAATCTAAGGAGCTAAGTGACTCAGCCACTGAACCATTCCCCTCAAATGCATATGTCTGCAGGGAATCATAGGGTGGAGCGCAGGGATCCACGTCAGCCTCTTTTAATCTTTCCCAAATAAACTCCCGAAAAATCACATTATCTGGGATGCTTTTAAATGATGGTCTGCTCAGGAACTGGATCTCTGGAGTCACATCCCTCCTGGTTTTTGTATCTCGAATGATATTGAGATTCCTCAAGGCAGCCATATCAAAGGCCTCTGTATCTTCCTCTCCACCTCCTTCATCATCATATCGCACAATGTTTTCCCTGATATCTCTCTCTTCATCAAAAACAAGAGGCTCTTTTTTCCTTCTTCTCATTGTGACAATCAGCAAAACGAGCACTGCAAGTAAAGCAACAACACTTTTAAGTAAAGGGAAAATGCAGAACTGCACTGAATATGCAAGAGAAAACACTGCAGTACTCACCAAATATATTTTGTTTTTTAAATTTGCTAACATGTTCCAAAATTACTTTTAGATTTTTTTAAAAAACACACCTTATTACAACAGGCATTCTGATTTAATTTTAAAATAATTTAATCTACATTTCTGGCTTACAATACATAAACTTAAAATCCAGTTTGTAAGAAATACCACAACCTTACAGCCATGAAATAAAACTAGACCTTTTTCTGACCTCTTAAATGCTTAAGTGATAGAAGAACATTCATAAGCACATTATGTGTAATTTAACTTTAAGGATGTGGGAAGTAACTGAATTATTATAGTATATAAGGATCAGCTGACTGATGAAGTATCTGATCCTTGATTGGAAAATTCAGAGCTGTTTAATAATATCCAGCATAAGTCTTGGTTTGCCTATTAAAGGCACTACTTCAATTGGTAGCACTTTGCCTTAATGCATGAAGTACTGCACCATGTGAATTACTTCTAGCCAGAACAGCAAAGGCTGTTTGGTATTTATTAGATCAGCCCACGATACTAGGAGGCAATAATTTTAAGATCTCTGCTACTTAAAGAGGGTTTCTTGTAGGTTTTAGTGCCAAGACTAATATTCATGCAACTAGCAAAAAGAGCATTCAGTATTTACGCTGCACTCTACACTTCCATTCATTCCTAACTTGTACAGTACTGTTCATACTTCGAGCATACATTTCGGCCAAGTCACACACCAGTTTCAAATACACATAAAACATAATTTTCAAGATGACTCATCCCTTTCAAAAATATTAATGCAGCTTATTTTAGAAATTAAATGCCTAACTTATTTCCATTAACAAAACATCTCTAACAGTATAACTCAATAGAAGGAAAGTCATGATAATCCCTTATTTATTTATTTATTTATTTTTATTTATTTATTCGATTTATACCCCGTCCATCTAGACCAATGGTCTACTCTTAAACAGAATGTGAGGGTCCAAATGGCCCTACAAACACTGGCAGGGTCATGAACAGAGTGGGTCCTTCCCTCACAGAATTTTGGTGTGTGGCGTACCTACCACTTGGTCCAAGAGCTGTCCTTAATCACAACACAAATTGAATGGCCATTTTCTCATAATGGTGATGATTGTTTTATTAACGTTAGTATTACAATATTAGTACTGTATTAGTATTGATATAATATTTG